TGAGTGTGGGGACTACTGACCCTAGACCAAGAGGAACAGTTCTGCTGAGCTTTCAGAGCTGCTATGATTGGAATGGACCATGAACCAGACTGTGGTTCTGCTGACCTGGGAATTGACTCTTCTTCTTTTGTGAGACCAAAATGAGCCATCTTAGAAATAAGACCAAAATGCTTTCACCCTAAAATTAAGGCCTAAGATTTCTCCTTTTGGGAATAGGCCATTAGTTACTGAAGCCAGTCAGTTCAGATTCCAGAAACCAGGAAGTGTAAAAGTACAGAGTTACAAGATAGTCACGAGGTAATGCCTGTCAGACTATGGAATGTCCTCTCCCTGGTTTCCAGGGCAACTGACGACAGAAATGCCCCCACCTGAGGGCAGCCAATGAGAAATGGTGGCAGGCAACCACTCCCTTAGAAGTAATTTCTAGAAGTCCCTAGAAGCGAGCCAATCAGAATTGTATCCATACTAGCACCCCTAAATGATGTAACCTTGTGACTTTTCCCTTTAAAAACTGAGCTTGCAGACAGGTGGGCCTCCACTGTGTTGGATGTATTGGACGAAGTCCCTGCCTAGGCTTGTATTGCTTTTGGATATCCAGAATTAAACCTTGCTTTTGCATTCCGGCATGCTCGTCTTTGGTGGTCTCTCTGGGGGTCACGATCTGGGCACAACACTTTGAGATTCCCTGAGTGTACATTCTGTTGGGAGGGGGAGGCTCTGCCACCCTGGCTATGGGAAGCTATGATACTTGTAATATATGTGTCCAGTGTACACACACAAACATTGCTTTTAGTAGGAAGTTGGAAGACAGGTTGAAAAGCTGAAGGTCTGGTTTCTAGAAGTTCTGAACATTGCACTACACTTTCAGGTTTGTCTTATAAATGTTACAAATATTTTAGAAACTGGTAGAAAGAAGTGTTGGGGTTCATTCTTCAGCAATATGTGATTAGACTTTTAAAATTTCTGATACCAATCTTGACCTGATTCAGGGAAGTTCAGTTCCAAGGGAGAAAAGAGGTTTCTGAGCTGCAGAGATATTCCAGGTTTACATGGTATTGGGCAGGTGGATAGGGAAGATTCCACATCATGTGCCATAACCCATATGGCAGGAATAGATGTCAAATTATTCTTCTGTACTGTTTGTGATTGGGCATCGCTGGGACTGGGTTTGCCTGAAACCACAAGGGGACAAGAGAGTTTGCAGAGCCATTAAATGAGATTACCTCCATTTGCCAAGAGAGTTCTACAGCTTGGGGCCTTTCTGTTTGGAAGACATATCAGTAGCTGGATGGTCAGAAACAACAGTTTAAGGGTCACTTTGAGTTAATTCTGTGGGAGTTGTGAAGTCTGTGTTAATTTCTATACACATAGAATTATAGGTACTTGGGTAACATTGGTCAAGATCACAATTTTCCTGGCTGAGTTTCCATTGGTATTTTGATTAAAAGTTGACTATATTTTTCTGCTTTAGTTTTTAGCTTTTTTTTTCCTCTCCTTTTATTCTTTCACAAATATTGTACATATTCTCAATTGTTGTAGCTTTGTGGTAAATATAGAAGTCACATGGTATCAATATGTGTATTATTTTTTCATAATCCTACTGAGCATTCTGAATTTTTCCACTTTGCATGTAGCATTGGAATCAGGTGTCCTGCTATAAATTGTTGTGAATTTTCTATGAATTGTATTCAATTCATGTTGCAAATTTACCATACACAACATCTTAATATTGATGCATCATGTTCCCATGGATCACTTATTTACTGCTGTGTTTATTCAGTGATCTCATGCCTTTGCTCCCAGCACTTGGGATCTCATGCCTTTGATCCTAGTACTCAGGAGACACACACCTCTAATCTCAGCACTAGGGAGGTGGAAACAGGAATATAAAGTGGGTAGAGACAGGATCTTATGCCTATTCGGTCTGAGGATTCATAGAGACAGGATGGCCCTCCATTCAGTCTGAGGATTTGTAGAGACAGGACCCTCCCATTTGGTTTGAGATTTTATAGAGGTAAGAAGTCTCTAATGGCCAGCTTCTCCGCTTCTCTGATCTTTCAGCTTTCACCCTTGATATCTGACTCTGGGCTTTTATTGTTAAGACTAATTAATATCATGTTTCATGCAAGTCTCCTCTTCTTGTGGTGGACAGAGAGACCAGGAGATGGTGTTAATATCCCTGATACTGGAGGTACAGATAGTAGTGAGCTTCTATATGTTCTGGGAATGGAATCTGTGTGTTCTGCAAGATTCTTCAGTACTCTTAACTGCTAAGGTGTTTTCCACCCTAAGTTTTCTGTTCTGGATAATGTTTCCTGTCCAAGGAAGCCTAGTCAGGGTCAGACACTTGATGCTGACTAAAAGTTAGAATTCTCCTCCAGGAAGAAGTTGGAAGGGATTTGAGAAGGGATGGAATGAAGAGATAAAACGGGAAAGTGAGGTTATTTTTGTTTTGTTTTGTTTTGTTTTGTTTTGTTTTTTGAGACAGGGTTTCTCTGTGTAGATTTGTGCCTTTCCTGGATCTCACTCTGTAGACCAGGCTGGCCTTGAACTCACAAAGATCCCCCTGCCTCTGCCTCCCGAGTGCTGGGATTAAAGGTGTGTGCCACTGCCACCTGGCTGTGAGGTTATATTTTTAATTAAAAATTTATGGACATAAATTTTAAATAAAAAAGAGGGGCTAGAGAGATGGCTCAGCAGTTAAGAGCACTAGGTGTTGTTTCAGAGGATTCAGGTTTCATTCCCAGAACACACATGGGAGCTAACCATTTGCCCAGGCATTTCCTACCTGCTACTGACCTCTGTAAGTACTGTGCACACACACATGCAGGCAAAACACCCATAAAACCAAAATTTTAAAAAGCTAGGAAAAGGAAAGAATGGTATTCTCTATAGTGATATCACAGCCATGAGATAGCAGCCAGGGCTAGTTAAAATGAATTCCTTCTGGTCTTATATGGAAGCAGCTGTGGCCTTCCTCTAAGCCACCCTGCTGAGGCAAAAGCAGCTTTGTTCTGAGGTTAATAGAGCTCAGCATAACATTCATCTAAGAGCAGAGTATATAGTACTGTTAGGTGACTTTTCCTTGATGTTCCTCTTTTTGTGTTCTCTGTCTTTTGTATTTGTGAGAATTGTGGCATTGGTACAGCTATCTTTTAGATCAAACATCAAGACTGACAGATAGCATAGGCTCCAAAGCAATCTACTTTCCCAGTGTCATATACTTGATTTTTCAGCTAAGAGTTTGTAGTACAAGATGAACATGCCAAAAGCATTTCTTTCCATCATTTTTATAATTTATATATGTTCCTGCATGACTTTGAGGTAAGAATGTCCCCAAATGTCTCTGCTCTTACATTATGACCTTGTTCAGAAGTGGATTTGTTAACTGAGCATGCATAGGAATAGGCAGAACTCTACATGAACATGTTCAGACTCCCTAAGTAAAATTCCATGCTTTCCTTGCTTAAGGAAAAGCATTGCTTTGGAAATAACTCCCATGCTCTCCTTGCATCCTGCAGGTAAGAAATATTTCTCATTTCTTCTGTCTTGGCTATTCTTGGTAGTCAAATTGACTGCCTCTGGAATTACCTAAAACCCAAAGCATTGGGTACACCTTTGAGGGATTTTTTTCAGAAAGTTTTTTAATTAAAGACCCATCTTCAATCTAGATCATTTGAGGTGATAAGATCCACCTTTAGCATCATGATGGCAGTACACAACTTTAATCCCAGCACTCAGGAGACAGAGGCAGTTGACTTTTCTAAGTTTGAGGCCAGCCTGGTTTACAGAACGAGTTTCAGGATTACACAGATAAGCCCTGTCTCAAAAACACCAAGAAAACATCAAACAAAGAATAAGATCCAAATTTAATCTGGATTGCACCTTCTGGTAGCAGCCTACATATATATTGAAGAAGGAAGTTCTCTCTCTTGGCTGGCTTGCCCTAGCTCTGGCTACCAAGTTCATTCCTTTACTAGCATTAGAGCACTGAAGACCAGCTGAAACATCTAGCCTCATGGACTGACAACTACTAGATTCTTTCCATTTGTGGAAGGCCATTGTTAGACTAGCTGGACCACAGCTTGTAAGACATTCTAATAAATCCACTTTCTACATACATGGAGAGATTGATTTTTACCAGTCCTGATCATGTAGAGAACCTTGAATAATGCAGCCATGTTGTTTTTTTTTTCATCCACCTACTAAGGAAGATGTGCTGGCTAACAATAGTACTCATAAAGACATTCTTCCTAGCTCCATTATTCTCTAAGCATTCAACTTACTGTGAAGACTACTCTTTTTATTAGTATTCATTTGTCAAGAGTTGCCCTGAATTCCAGAAGAAAACTTGGAAAGCAATGGAGACATCATCTAGCCTTCTGGTGAGAGAAAGATCTATCATTATGGTTTTTGTAAATCTGGTTCATGCATTTCTCTCCTTGTTCTATGTAGTGCCTGTGACTAACAGGTAGAAAGTACCTTCAGTTCACCTGAACTCAGCATGAAGCCACAGAACAAACATCTCCTTTTGTGTCCTTAAATCTCTCTTTACTTTTTGTTTGTTTGTTTTTGTTTTTCGAGACAGGGTTTCTCTGTGTAGCTTTGGAGCCTGTCCTGGAACTCACTCTGTAGCCCAGGCTGGCAAATCTCTCTTTAAAATAGTTAATATTCTGGACATCCTTCCACCTGTGGGACAGGGAATCACTCCACTCAACACTGAGGAAAGGACTGTGCAAGCTAGCCACAATGTGCCCAGGAGGAAGAATGGGAAGTGCCTATGGAATGCAGGAGGATAATAGGGTCAGCAACTGGAGCCTGGGGCAAGCGCTATTGAAATGCATATCTCTGCAGCTCTGGAAAAGGTCTGGGTCTAGGCTGGAAGGCAGGGTCAGAACCATTGCGCTGTGTCTTTAAGCGCACTGTATTCCTATGGGAGGTGCTTCGTCACTCGGGCCTTACTAGCCAATCAGGGCCTCCAGGCCAAACTGCCAGTCAGAAGTGGTGCAGGATCCTTCCGGGAGCCACACAGCAGGCTTGGTTTTGCAGAGGAGCTGGCGCCAGTGTTTTCCTGTGCTGTGCTGTGAGCACTGCAGCAGGGAGCTGTGAGGGGGCCATGGGCAAGCTGGGAAGCCATAGCATGGTGAGTGAGGGGCTACTGTCCCCAGATGGGGAAGAGCCGATGGGGAGGTGCAGAAGCTAGTGTGGTGGGTCCTCCCTGGGGATGGGTGGGAATCTGTAGCCAGATTTCCTGTTCTATGAGTACCCTTGTGGTCCCTGCAACTTCCTGGACCCAGACACAGGCCTCTGAATAACTTTGCTCTATGGGCTGCATCTATGCAGAGCAATTTGGGACAGGGACCCGTGTGTAGAAATATATTCAGTCAACAACAACATGCTTTTGGTGCATCCATAGAAGGCAGGTTGCCAAACTTGGAGAGGCCTAGTTTCTCCAGTATCTTCTAGACATTCAGCACTTTGCATTTAACCTTTACGTGTAAGGTCCATTTACAGTTAATTTTGTGGAGTTGCTAAAAGGCATCTCTTGTGTTGGATAGCACTTCATTACTTAGCTGTGATGTAGAAGAGTAGAATTGGTGATAATAAAGGATTTACACAAAGAGAAAGGGAGGCTGTCTCTAAATAAAACACCCCAAAGATACTATGTTAACTAGGTTTGGTAGAGATAAGGATGCTAGGATACACTTTTTCCCCCCACAAGGATTGTCCAGATGTTTGGCTCCAAACCATTACAAAGGAGACACCCCTGATTTACAACCAGTCACTAGGCTCATCTCCATATCAAAGAACAGGCCTCTAACATGCTGCTCAGGGAAGTATTACAGGGTCACAACCTACTTTAAGGCCTGGTGTGCCTTCAAGTTCCAGTTTTCTTCTTGAGAAAAGCATAGTTCTGAGAAATGGGCAGCATGACACCAGGTGACAAGGTTTTGAAAAGTAAAACACTGATGTGTTAAGGACTGGTCAAGCAAAGCTTTCATTTAAGCCCTCAGGCAGGGAGGAGGAACATCTTGGGAGAGTTAACAGTCTGGGGCCTGGGCATTGGGTGCTTTGCCTAAGGCTTTGATATATTGAGAATAAAACAGAGCTCATTCTCTAAAACCAGGAATATAGAGCTGGTAATAATCTGGGGCCAGGGCCTTTGTGGAGGGGTTGCTTCAGATCCTTAAAACCCAACTCTTCCTACCACATGGAGCTATGGTTATCAGTGCCAAGGCCACTGTGGGCTTTAGTCAGCAGTGTTCTTGAGATACCCTGTGTTCCCCTTGTGCAGCATTGTTTGTAGCCTCCTCCTGAGTTTTACCATTGTATGATACTTTCTGCTGACTTCATAGAAGTTCATTTCCTTCCATTTTTCCCCCTGGAAGTAGTATCAAGAAGCTATTCTTCTTAAGAAGCTTACTTAGCATGAGACATATTGTACAATACCTCCCCACCCCAGCCTTTCTTTCTTCTACTTTATACTTTTTCTATCTTTCTCATTCCCTGGCACTTTCACCTCAGGACCCTGTCACTGAAAATGACCTGCTGTATCAGTTAACTGGTGTACTTCAGAAATAATTCTGATAATATCTTTGCTATGTAAGTCTACCATCTTCCTAAGTGGCTATTTGCAGTCTCCTGTCCCTATTTAAATTGTTCAAAGTGTAACCTGAAGCCTGAACCTAAAAGACATAAGGATGACAGCATACAAGGAATGCAAAATATGTCTAGGCTGGCTCCTCTTTGAGCATTAGCTAGAGATCGATCCATGCTCCCATTAAAGAGATTTTTCTTCATTAATCTCCTAAGTGTATGGAGTAATTTCTTCTTGGAAAGACATAATTCTAGAGCAGCTGCATTTCCAGCCTTTTAGAAAAATGTTTCTGAGACAAGCCCTGTTCTATTGACACAAGTGGCCTTGATTTCAGACTTTTGTACTCCAGGGCAATGACCTTGTTGTCCTCTATATTATACCTCTAAAATTCTTAAATGTCTGTACCACTTCAGAGTTTTAAAATTATCTATTGGAATCATATAGTTGATTGTCCATTTCAATTCCAGGAAAAGGATTTGCATGTGGAGCATGGCTTCTGCCTTCAAATCACAATAGGAGGAACAGTGTATTGTGTACACTGCAGGGGGAAACAGGGTAGGCAGTCAGCTGCTGCAGTCACCATAATGAAAAAGTTACCATTATGATTATGGCAGGAGGGGTTAATTTTTTTTTTTGGTTTTTCGAGACAGGGTTTCTCTGTGTAGCTTTGCCCCTCTCCTGGAACTCACTTGGTAGCCCAGGCTGGCCTCAGACTCACAGAGATCCACCTGACTCTGCCTCCCGAGTGCTGGGATTAAAGACGTGCGCCACCACCGCCCAGCAAGGTTAATTTTTAATTTTCCAGCATGTATTAATTTATATCATGTGAATGAAGACAGACCAGATTGGTGGGTATGCAATTTGAGAAAGTCACCTTGAGGCAATAAATATTGAATTTGCAATTAGGGAACTCTCCTATGCAGATATGCTCATTTAAGTCAGTTTAGAGGTTTGAGAAACAGGCCATTGAGTGTAACTCTGTGTGTCAGGTTAAAGATCTTAACAGCCAACATGTGCATATAGGCAAGATCAATCAGTCTCTTATTAATGGCCTTCCCTCTATTAGGGAAGGGCCTATTCTTTTTCAAAGTCAATATAGTGTAGCAGGAGTCTTAAAAGTTCTTATTAACAAAATCAAACCTGAGCCAGGTATTGGGGTGAACTGGAAGATCAGAAAACCAGAACAAGCCACAGCTACTTCACCTCACCGGATCCTCAGCTGGTCTTGTTTCCTCAGACTGGAGGCCACTGAGTCCTCATCCAGAATGGGTCTCAGCTGAATTGCTGCTCAAAAGCCTGAATGCTTAACCAGGCCAAATGCTTAACTGGCCAAATGCTTCTAGTTTCTTGTCCTCACTCACGCCTCATATATCTTTCTGCTTTCTGCCTCACTCCCTGGGATTAAAGGCTCGCTTTCTGGGATTAAAGGTGTGAGTCACCGTTCTTGGCTGTATCCTTGAACACATGGATTTCTGCCTCTGGAATGCTAGGATTAAAGGCATGTGCTACCACTGCCTATCCTCTATGTTTAATATTGTGGCTGTTCTGTCTCTGGCCCCAGATAAGTTTATTAGGGTGCACAATATTTTGGGGAACACATACCACCTCAATATAGCTGTTTTTTAATCTTAAAAATACATTATTTTTATCATTTAAAAAATTATTGGCATCATTTTTAAACATTTTCTTTATGAGAATTAGTGCTCTTATTTCTATTTGTTTCTGTTCTCTAATGTTTCTTGATCATTAAGAATTTCATTCCTTTTTTTCTCAAATGCTATTGATTTATTTATTTCTGTTTAGAATAATATCTCCTGTAGCCCAGGCTTGCCTGGAGCTATGAAGTTGAGAATTATTTTGAACATCTAAACCTGCTTCTGCTGCCTAGTGCTGGTAAGACAGTCCTGCACCTCCTCTCATGCTGGGCCTTGACTGGTCAGTGAGAAGGATAAGAGAATAGTAAATGAGTGTCCTCCGGTCTCTGTGACTTTTATTGGAGAGTTACAAATGAAGAAGGACCTGTGCAAGAACTGAGTTCACTGACCAACTTTGAAGCTGATATAGTCACAGCACAGAAAGGGAATGGCAGGAAGGAGAGTGAGCACTTTCCTGCTTTTGGCAGTAGTTGATATTAGCAAACTTGAGACAGGTAATCAATTTTAGATGCTCCATAAATGTCCTGACTGGCCATTTCTTGAGGTCCACAGACCAGGACCATCTAGAATCTGGGTAAAGGACTGACCTTATCATGGAACCAAATTACTGCAGTTACACTAGTTCAACCAAAATAGAGGATCTTTATAAAAAGTTGTGGCCCTGCCTAACAAGATTGGTATTTTCCAGGTTTAAGATGTACAGGCTGAGAGAAAATGTGTGAGTAATCATTGGTGTGCTCTCATACAAATCCCTGGTCTCTGAAAGCCTGTTTCAACTTTTCAAAATAATTATTTGAAATAAAAACTACATCATATCCACAGTCTCTTCGTTGCCCCCAAGCCCTACCATGATCCTTCACTGTTTTCTAATTCATGGTCTCTTTTTTGCTTTAACAACAGTCACTGTTTGAATGTGACCTATGTTTGGCTGCAGAACTTCCCAGCTAAGAAGCAAAGGATTGGCTGCACTGGACATTGAGTGTGTAATGGAATGGGCACACAAAGGACCTGTGCCTTGAACAAAGAATAGGAAGTGTTTTGGGAGAGTGGAAGAATGTCTACTAAAATGCAAACTTTCCAGACTAAGGCCCTGTCTGCTGGGCTGGAAGGGCAGAGCTGGGGAGGCCTGTGCTGTCTGAGTCATTTGATCTCTGCTCACCCAGTAGGGGAGCTGCTAATATTCTGAGGCCCAATAGGGTGACCCTAACTAATGAGGGACTTAGCAAGGCTTAGCAATAGGAGTACTAGCTTTCAGGTTCTTTCCAGGATTTTCTGCTTCTGCTGTACGGAGTTAGTTGTAAGGAAGACCATAAGCCATGCCATGGTGAGTGTGGGGTGTTCAGAGCAGGTGTGCTGTGCTGTCATTTCTGCTGGGACTTTGATGGACCATGAGCCAGACTATGGTTCTGTTGTTACATGCAATGACCTGGGCAGTAGCCCTTGTCCTCTGAGCCTCCCTGTGTGAAATTTCCTGGGAAGGGGGAGGCTCTGCAGCTTTGTCATGGGAGAATAAGATACATGGAATATCACTGTCCAGTGTGCACACACAGGCATTGCTTTAGTGGGAAGTGGAAAGACAGACTGGAAAACTGAAGGTCTGGTTTCTAGAAATCTGAACATTGCACTCTACTTTCAGGTTTGTCTTATAAATGTTACAAATAATTTGGAAACTGGTAGAAACGTGTGATGGGAATCATCCTTCAGTAATACATGATTAGAATGCTTTTAAATTTATGATATCAGCTTGACCTGATTCAGGAAAGTTCAGTTCCAGGGGAGAAAAGAAGTTTCTGAACTTGCATGGTATTGGGCAGGTGTATAAAGCAGACTCCACATCATGTGCCATACATAACCTATGTGGCAGGAAATAGAATAATTAAATTAGTCTTC